TTTGTATTATATAACTTGGAAGTTTAGATGTTATTAAAATGTTAAAATATTATTTATTATTTGCTCCATATGCAAGTGATCGGTATTTTCATCGCACACCCGCCATCATGTTCTGCACAACTGCATCATCGACATTACGCGATGCGCACAACTACTTTGTTTTGCACTCTTCAATAATTTTCACTCTTTCACCTGTTTTCTTCAAGATTCCTTTGACAATTGACCAATATTCCCCAATAGGACGTGGCTCTGGGCTATTGGGTGGATTGCAGTCGTGAGGTACAAAATTGATGTTATTTACATTATACCACGGCAATGTGTCCTTGGCATAGTGGCAGGTTGCCATGCCCGCCTAGAATGATGGCCTACTCCTTATCTGTTGATAAATGACAGAAGACGCCTTTTGAGGCACTCATCCCGATAAACTTGATCATTCATTGTCCCGGATGGGAAAAAAGGGCTGCTCTTACGGCCGCAGGAACAAATAGCTTGCCAAACCATGTGGTGTTTGGAAATTTGGACTTCATTTTCAGCTTACAACTTTCAGGGGCATCTTGACGACTTGCAGCAGTATAAAAATCTTGACCTGCAATATATTTTGAATTCTTATAGCAGTAGGTTTCGCAGTCCATAACAATGCAGCTGTATTTTTTAATTTAAAATTCATACAACTTCCGAATGCGGGATTTCGCTATAACATTCTACTTTGCGCCTCGTTCTGGCGCGTTTGAGCTGTAGGACATCCCAATGAAGCTTTCCGCTTTACCTTTTGTACGAAAAACTGCGATCTCCGTACGGATTTTGCAACATAACGCGACAAAATCTTCGGATCTCGCGAAAACGCACTGAGGACCTTCCGAGCACTGTTTTTATCACTTTGACCATGCTAACCCCCGCTCCCTGGTTTTCTCGTAACTGTCAGGCCTTATTTGTACCGATTAAAACCCTGCAAACTGTCGAATAGTGCACTCTTTAATTTTTTAGCAATTTTACGTGTACTTAAGGCCGGATCATTTATAAACTCGTGCAAAATGGTTTGTCTCGTTTTTGTCGTTCAAATGAAATTTCTTCTACGTTCATCTAAGGTCTTGGTCAACTTATGGTATTTGAATTTCAAAATATTGAATTCGTTTTGGGTAAGTTATAAGCTTCCCAAAGTGTCGCAGTTTTGGTGTGTTCACCCTTTAATTCGAAAACTCCAAAGCTATGTATGTATATATTAGCGTGATTTCCGAAGTATCCTTTTCAGAGGTAGCGACATCCTAATAAGTCCAAAATTTTCAGGTCAAAATTTCAGTTGGTTGCGTCTGTATGGCCTTTTAAATTATATAGATAATACTTAGTTATTTTTATGTGGAAAGATGACTCTCAATAATAATTATTATCTATAAGCGAAAAAATAGAAATCATAAAATAATGATTAAATACGAATTTAAATTATTTTATTTTTGATTTTGATATTTTAATTTTGAACTTCTTAATCTGAATTTCGAATTTTAGTACATCTAATAAAGTGCAAGTTTTAAGTGGCTGGAAATTTGCGTTGATTTTTATTATTTTTTATTTTATTTTTTGCTGACGATCTTTGCGCATTTTTTCATTTTAACAAGTGCAATTTATAAAAATACGCATTGATTTTAGTTTAATTTTCTTTGTAAACGGTCTTGCGAATTTTCTTTCATAAGAAATTCATGCTTAGATGGAAATAAGTACAAAAAGCCGTCAGCAAAAAAAAAAA